GAAATATCTGATTCAAAAAATCCTACAAAAATTTAAAATACCTAGAAGTAAATTTGTTAATAATTATACAAGATCTATATGAAAGCAATTGTAAAACTCACTGAAAAATTTGGGAAAAAAACTTAAAACAGAGCCTGTTTTCCTGATTTAAAAAAAAAAATCAAATCAAACAGAATATTGTCTAGCTATACGTATATATAGGAGCCCTGGTGGCGCACTGGTTAAATGCTCAGCTGCTAGCCGAAAGGTTGATGGTTTGAATCCACCAGCTGCTCTGTGGAAGAAATATGTGGCAGTCTGTTTCCTAAAGATTTACAGTGTAGGAAACCCTATGGGGCAATCCTACTCTGTCCTGTAGGGTCGCTATGAGTCGAAATCGACTCAACAGCAACGGGTTTGGTTAGGTTTTGGTTTTTGTACATGTGTATGTGACAAAACTCTTTAAAAAAAAAAATGGAAAAAACTGATCATCACAGAATTCAGGTTCCTCCAGGAAGGTTGCAGAGCCCTGGTGGCACAGTGGTTAAGAGCTCAGCTGCTAAGCGAAAGGTTGGAGGTTTGAGTCCACCTGGAGGTGCCTCGAAACAAAGGAAAACTCTATGGAGTATATTTCTATTCTGACACACATGGGGTGGCCATGGGTCGGCATCAACTCCATTGCAACTGATTTAATACACCAGGAATTCACCCCAATTCTGCACACCTGAGGTAGGAGAGAGGGGAAAGGGAGAATTAAATTGACTTGGACGGACCTTTATTCAGGATGGTTCATGTATGAGTATGGGCAAGAGCATGTCCTTCTCTTCTCCAGGAGCCCACACTGGGCAGAGGAAAGAGGCCTGTGCACATAGGGGACAGGCCTCAGGACCCCAAAGACACAACACTGAGGGCCTTCAGGCTAGAAGCATCAGAAGGCTTCAGGGAGGAGGAGGCCTGATAAATAGGCTGTTTTTCAATTGGCAGAGATGGCGGAAGGGGAAGGGCATCTAGGCCTCCCGGGTGGGTTGAGTCCAATAGTTATAAAGGCTGACAGTCTGGACAGAGGGTAGTAGGGCTCGGCTGTAAATGGGGTGCCCATGGTAGAGTTGCTGAGTGGGAAAGGAAGAGGGTAGAGGACCTTCAGTGTCCCTAGGGACATCATCTGGCCAGGGCTTAGTGGGCAGGCTCAGAAAACACCACAGGAACTCATGACAGGGCTGAGCAACTGGTGTGGTTTGGTTTTATATAGCAGTTACCATACGCCAGACGTAGTTCTAAATGCTTTGTTAGTATTCACTTGTTTAAGTCTCCACAACACCCTGATATGGTAGTCCATTTTACAGATGAGGAAACTGAGGTTTAAGGGGTTAAATAATTTGCCCCAGGAAGTCTGGTGCCAGAATCTTCTTGTCTTAACCACCAAGCTAGGCCGTCATATATATATTTACCTACATACATAATTGCATAAATGTGATCATACACATGTTGTAACATGTTTTTTCTTTTTCTTTTATATTTGTTCCTCTCCTTATCCACATTAGTTCTGCCTACTATGGAATCCATATTATCAACCTAATATGTGACCTTCTATATTTTTTATTTACTCATAATTCTACCAGGACTTATATATACAGATACCTATAATCACATATGTGGCTGCGAAGATGGACTCAAGCATAGTAACAGTTATGAGGACGGCACAGGACAGGGGAGTGTTTCGTTCTGTTGAGTCGGAAGTAACTCAATGGCACATAACAACAACAGTAATCACACATACATATAGATTTCTTCTTGTCTCTTTCTAAAAAAATACTGGATCATATTAAGTATACATCTCTGCATCTTGCTTTTGTCACTCATCTATACCTCATGGAAACCCATGGCAGGTCTAATTCACTCTTTTTAACACCTACACATCAGTCCACCCACCGCATCCTTTCACCTGGCCCACCTCGACCGCCATTGCACGCATTTCTTTAAAATCCATTAGAGAGTGTGATGATGGAAATGCCAGGCCAGAGCAGAAAAAGGCAGCCCGTAGGCAGCGAGTTGAGTTTCAGGCTGTGTCTTGCCTACCCCTGGCTGGGTGGCCAGGAGCCCTCAGTCCTCAGGCAGGATTGCTGACTGTGTTATTATGAAATCATTTACATATTGTGAAGTGCTTTGCATACGATGGAGTGATTTGCATACTGGGAGGGGGGCATCTCAGCGGTCCCAGAGCAGCACCCCAGGGTGTCTTCCTTTGCAAAGAAACCAACCCCGGAGGGTTCCATTTCAGAACTCAGGGAGGGACCCAGGGGGGCATCCTGACCACCTGACGGGCCTGGTGGGGTGACGTAGACTAGAGACTTTGAAGACAAACTTGTCCCACCTGGAAGGAGTTGGGGGTTTGGGAACAGCAGACATTGGGGTGTAAGGTGGGTCAGGCCACCCGGTGCAGCATATGAAAGCTGAGTGCTTTCAGAGCACCCAGTAGGGGAAGAACAACACAGTACAGGCAGGAGGAGCTGCGAGAGGAGGTGGCTCAGAGGCTTGGAGACCTCACCCCAGCGCAGTCTCTGCCCAAGTGAGTACCCACGTGCGCCTGCCTAAGTGTTCCCTGGTCCTAGCTGATTCCCAGATAAGGATGCTCAGACCAGACTGGCGCTGCTGTTCAGGCCCAAGAAGTGAGAATGGCAGGACATGCTCTGGGTTCAGGGACATCCAGGTGTGACTCCTCGCCCTGCCATCGGCTGCCATTGTGTGACCTCAGAGGGATATGAAGAGGATTAAGTAAAATCATGCAAGTAGAGAGAATAGCACGTAGTAGGTGTTCAGTAAATGGCAGTTATAATAATCGCTATTGTTTGCTGCCCTACTCTGAGACAAGAGGTCTGGCCTAGCTTGAAGGAAGCAAAGAGCCCTCGCCCCCCAGGTTTGGAGTTCCCAGCAGCAGGGTCCAACTGTCAAGCATTGGACCCCAAAGGGTTACAAGTCCTTAAGACAGAGGCCTGAGGTCCCCAGAAAGAAACCAAAGCATAAAAATAATTCGATGAGTAAGAATAAAATTCCCTCTTCTGAGGTTCCCGGGGCCAGGCCCCTCCCTGCGGCAGGCACTTCCCCTTTCCCTTGTTCATGGAGGAGCCAGGCCGGGCTGACTCAGAGCAGGAGCGCCGCAGGCATCCTCCCACCCCCGACCCCAGCTCGGCCTGGCCCGGCGTGGAGGTGTCTGGCGGCCGCGCGCGCCCCCCTGCGGCCGCGGGAGGGACTGCAGCCAGAGACGTGAAGCGGTGGCCAGACCCGCAAGCCCAGCCGCCCGGCCGATCGCGGTCCCCCGGGGCTGCCGCCTCCGCCCTGCTCAACCTGGCTAAGCTCGGTGCCCGCGGGGCTCCCACTTCCCGCCACCCCGGCCCCGGCGGAAGTGCGCCGCTGCCCGGGTCCCCCATGGGCGCAAGGCGGAAGCGCGCTCCGGCCACCGCTCCCCT